TCTCGTAACTTAAAAATTATTTTATTCACTAAACATTTACTTATCCACCAAAATTTTATCTTTCAACAAAGACTGCGAGGTTCCAAAACAATTCACCGACACAAAATGATAAATAAATAGTAAATATCAGTTAAAGTATATCGAAATTGATTTTTGAGAAAAGTTAAGCTTCTCGCAGTTACAAAATTATTTCATTCCTAATACTTTACCGTTCAACAAAATTGAAATATTCGAAAAACATTCCATTCGTGGAAAAATTAAATCCCTTTACATTTACCGATCACACCGACGCGGTTAACGATCGGTGTCGTTCAGAAAATTCCAAGGAGAATTGAAACCTTCGGAAAAGGTTTCGAAAAATGACCCTTCGTTTCCTACCGTTATTTGTCGACTTAATTAACAGATCACGGCGCGTAATTAATTAGAATTTATGAAAATTAATGTAGATTTTTTCTAGTATTCTAAATTAATGTATAATTTTTTGCTCATTAGCGCGTATCGATTTTCTAGCCGCGATACGCGCGCTCTTTAATGACTTTTATCGCGGCCGGGCGATCGCGATGGCACGCCCCGCTGATCCCCGGACGGATTACGGCGAAGTGACAATTTAATCGCCGGTTCCGTTTTCGCCGCTGCACACCGGCCGTTTCCGCGGAGCAAAATAAAAGTAAGAGAAAGAAATGAAAAATGACGAACGGCTCGCGGGGATTAATTTTACTCTGGTGACCTTTTGGTGACTGGGGGCGGTACGGGGAATCGTTCTATCGAGTTTCGCCTCCGTTGATGCTCGACCACCTGCACGCGTCGTGCCGAGGTGTCGTTCGTTAAATACAGTGGGTGATCAAATTATTCTGGTCACTTCGAAATTGTCTGTCGTTTGTTCTCAAGTTTGAGTAAGAATGCGATTGAAAATTGCACTTGAAATGAACACACTTTCTACTGCAAAAAGTACCGTGTGTTTAACCCTTTCGCTGTTGATTTTTTATAATCAAAAATACCCTATACTTGTACTGTCTGCGTATTCCTTGTTTTAAAATATACCAAACAAAAAGTACATATTAATCAATAACTAAATAATTATGTGAAAAATCCATATATGATCGTGTTCTTTTTTTTTTTTTGGAAGTTTCATGGTATTTTGAAGTGTTTCCAAACATTTTTATTGCCGAACATCACCTTAATCCACAGTGAATCTGTTAATAATCTATAAGAAGGATCTCAAAACTTCCAGAAGTTATTTCATATTTTTTTAAGTCACATATAGTCGGCTTGCATTTCAAAAACGGTTAATGTTGAGACAAACGAAGGAACAATTAAAACGATGTTACAATTAAAGATAAGTCTGTTTTAATCCCCTTTTCAACAGTAAGAAATACACCTAAATAATATTTATTGGAAACCCTTGAAACCCAAAAATTGTTAGCTAAATTATAAAGAAGAAAAAATGTTTCCATTGCTAAATGGTTGAATAATTGACAATTTTCTACCGCAAAAAATGTCCAACCGATTTTACGAAAAGTTCACTATAATTGCTCGAATGCGTTTCGACACGCTTCCAACATATTTTCCACCGATTCCCATAGAAAATATGAAATACGTAATTCTTTCATCGGAACATAATAATTTGATCACCCGCTGTAATCCTGCACGCTCCCATTCGCCTTTCCACCCTTCGTGCGATTAATCAACACGCTACCCGTTGAATGCGCGAGAACACCGTATTTGGGGGCGCCTGATTAATTGTGACACTTGTAAGTAATGATGAGCAGGCTCATCTAATGCTCGAGGATCTCGGAACGCGCGATTTTTTCCGTGGAAATATTTTTTTCTCGAAGGCGATCGGGAAGATTAAAGAGGGTTGCTTTTCCGTTGAAATCTGGAAATAGTAATTTTCACAGAAGTATTGCACAGCGTGTAAAAAAAGTTCCATTACTCTGAATTTAATAATTTATTGCGACGTGGAATGGAAGACGGTGAAGAAGAAATCGTTATACCCTATATTTTAATACATTTGTTTAAAATCAGTCCAAAATGTCTCAATCTGAGTTTAACAATTTATACCCTATATTTTTGATATATTTGTTTAAAATTGAAACAAAAAATTTCACTATGTAAATTAAATATATTTTTCTTTTTTTTATTCTGAGTAACATGAACGTTTGTT